GTGACCGGAAGTGAATGGTTTAATGGTAAACAACTTGATGTACAAAAAGACGGAAGAAAACGGAAAACTAATGCTAACGGAGAAAAGGGAGAGAAGAATATGGTTAAATTGTACAAAGACGAATGGTTCTAGCTACAGTCGACAGGGGAACAAGGTTTGTAATGTATATGATTTAATTTGAGCAATCTGAAATGCATAATATGTATTATATAGTTTAATAGAAAACGGTTAGACCAGCGTAATGAGCAGTTAAGATGGTGTTACATGAATAATATGGTAATTGTTTTATTTGTTTGTCTAGCTCTTACGTTGGTTCGTTGTCTGATACACGGCAAGGAATAATAAAGGTCATTCAACAACCATCAGTTCTGGCCTTCTCAGTTCGACTGGATGCTACAACCTGAATATCAAAATTCTTGCAATAAACATTTTTACCTTTGTCCTTTACAAAATCATAACTGTAGACTGAAATCTGCTGACAACATTGATTTACAAACAAAATGAACTGCTTGCTGTTGCAGATCAATTTATAGCAAATTTGACCAGCCTGGTTCAAGACCTTAACAAATTGGTTCTCTGTTGAGTTTGTGACCATTTTAAACTGCATAAAGAATGAAGTCTTTAAAAGGCGGGTGGGCATTTATGCAAATGGATTATAAATTAAGTAAAAAGATAAATGTGATTAATCAACTATGTACAGAAACATAATTTTCGAAACTAAAATTAAATCTGAATTTAATCTTTCCAGAGGCTGACTCATCAACATAAAACCACAATGAAAACACTTCCTCAAAACAAGAGCAGCTCTTTCTTTAGAAAATAACGTGAAGGCAACTCGTCACATTTGAGAAACAACAGATGCCAGGGCACAGAAACTGAGGCACGACTAACCCATCTCACTGTAAGTTAACCTCATGGCAGAAGAATTAGAGCTTTCTGAGTATTCCACCATACATGACCTTGGGGGAAAAAAGGTCAAAACTGGAACAAGCAGCATCAACTCTGCTCAATCAGGTAAGAATATGAGAAAAATGCAAACTAAAAGAGAAACAGTCACGATTTTGAAGTAATCAGAAAGCTGTCTCACTATTGTGAATGTACTATGTATTTATCTGTTTTTGTGTTTACAGAAAGAAGACTCCTGAGGATGGGGATTGTAACTTTAGGAGTATTGTGTATCTTACAAGCCATCCTCAATATCTCCCTCCACCTTGCCGGTAAATTGTGAACACAAATATATATTTATAATGGAAAATAAATGTATCATAAGTACTGTAACATGTTTTCTGATGGAAAGTATAAAAAATATGACCCCAAAATTATGTTTATTTCCAGTTTATTCAAAAGAGGATATCAATCAGTTTCCTTGCAACACCTCTGTGATAGAAGACATGTGCCAGACCGAGCAATTTCAGTCGAATTCAACCCACTTATGTTCCTGCTGCAACAACCTGCTGCAAAGCCTACTGAGAGAAAGAGACCTCTTGCAAGACAAAATCAGTCAGTTTAGCAGAGGTAAACCTGGAGATGTTGACGATATGCAGATCTCTGGATCTGGTTCCAATTCTTTAGATTTCTTGTTAGTTTGAAGATGAACGCAGACAACATTCAGGAATTTGAAACAAGTCATTTAAGTCAGACGACTGCATCCATTTACACACTTTGAAATCTCTGGTACAAAAACAACAGCCAACCACATTTTAATTAGATATATATTTTGAAAGAGTCAAGCAGTGATTAACAGTTGCACTCAGGTAAATACTTTTATTATATTGTTGCATATTTAATGCAAAATTTATTATGTACATATATTAATACTGTGCTAATGGATAAAAAAATGACATGCCACTTTAGTAATATGATAAAATGTATTGAATGGTTGTGTATGTGAAAGATGACGTTTTTAGTGACAACATGTGCTCAGTTTAGTTTTTGGCTGGTGGTGTATTCAGAAACCCAAAGAACAGATGCTTCTACCAGTAGGTGGTAGAGACCCGACCCAAGCTGTGTTAAAGAATATTGGATTTGCATGTATGTGTGGCCAACAAACACACTAAATAACAGCAAAAAACAATGTTGACTATTTTGTACTAGCAGAATTTAGAAAGTGTTTTTAATGGAATTTGCTATATCAACTTTAAATGTTATTGTTACTCTGAATGATGATAATTAATTTTTTTTTTGTTTTCACATAACTGAAATTTTGTATAATAATGAGTTTTCAATGGCCGCTCAATTGACAACAGTCTTATATTTGATATAATTTAGCTTATATTTAGCTTGATTTTATGTTTATCTCTGAGACATGGCAGCATGAAGTCTCACATCTTTTAGAGCTATGCACTGCAGACTGTTCATTTTTCTGTGAACCTCAGATCTCTGGACGAGAAGGTGGAACAGTTGTGATTTTTAAAAAGACATTTTTATGCCAGATGATCTCTTCGAGCTGTTACAGCTCTTTTGAGATAATTATGATCAAAACTGGAAGAGATCAACCGATGTATGGTATTTCAATTTATGGTCCACCTGGGTCTGCAGCATCTTTTCTGTCAGACTTCTGCTATTAAGTTGGGCAAGGTCATCATTGTTGGGGACTTCAACATTCGTGCAGAGGACCCATCAAATAGTACCACTAGGAATTTCCTGAGCATTATGGACTCTTAAACTTTTAAACTTTTTCCCAAGTTTGTATTAGGTACAGGCGCTTTATTGATAGCTATCATTTCTAAGTTTTCTTTTTAATTTTATAACTTTTTGTGACCATGTTGAGCTCCTTGTTAAGTCTTGTATTGAACCCTGATAGCCACTTTTAATCAGATCGCTCCTCACAAAACCACAGTAGTCATTGCTCTGTCAGTTCCTGCACACCCTGGTTAGATAATCAAACTTGCGATCTTCGACATTCCCGTCAAAGAGCAGAACATCTGTGGAAGTCCCCGGCTCTAAGTTTCCATCACAAATACTTTGTAGAGCTTCTTCACATATATAATGAGTCAGTGAAAGAGGCTACATCCTCTTATTTCAATAATCTCATACATTTCCATAAGAATAATCCAAGGGTATTATTTGAGACTATCAACAGGATTGTTTCCCCTCCAACCCAGCATGCTATGTTCTTTTCTGACGATGATTGCAATACATTTCTCAATCACTTTGTAAATAAGGTGATGGGCTTAAGATCCAAAATCTCCTCAAGTAGCTTCCCTTATGATGGTCCTCAGTGCCCTGGGTCATTTACTTTTCTTTCCCTCCAATTACACTTAATGACTTAACTACAGTAATAGGTAAAATGAAATTCTTGTCATGCTCCTTAGATACATTACCTGCTTTTCTCCTGTCTGGGACTCACCAGCATTGGTCCCACATTGCTGTCTATCATGTGGAACTGAGGCAAAGTTATGTTCCATCGTATTTTAAATATGTCGAATGTTCATCCCAACTTTACTGGTAATTATTGGCCTATTTTCAAAATTGTCACTTATAAGCAAATTATTAGAAAAACTTGTAGAAAATCAGTTCAGATCTTTACTATGCAAATTAAAGATTTGTTACCTTTTTCAATCTGGCTTTCAAAAGCAGTGCTCCACTGAGATCGCCCTCTTGAAGGTTTATAATAATCTTTTAATGGCTTCTGATGCAGGGAATTGTTCTGTAATCATATTGCTTGATCTCAGTGCAGCCTTTGATACAATTGATCATAAAATCCTACTTAATATGCTGAATGTTCTGGCTGGTGTATCTGGCTCTGCCTTAGACTGGTTTTCTTCTTACTTATCTGACAGGACCTTCTCTGTTAGAACAAACAAGTTCACCTCTATCATAGCCTCCCTAACCTGCTGGGTTCCACAGGGTTCAGGTTTGCATACATTATTTTCTTTCTAGGTGCTTCTTCTTTCTCGCTGGCATTTTTCAATCTTTTAGTGACATTTCTTATCATTTCTGTGCCGATGACAGTCTTTTAAGCCTCATTAGCTGGATAGGCTGTCCAGCTTAGTCCACTGGGTAACTCAGGTTACTGATTGGCTCTCTAGCAATTACCTTGTTTCAAACACTAACAAACCTTAGACCATGATTATAGCTCCTCCTGAACTACATTCTTAAATCAGTCGGATTCTTGCTTCTTTTTGTTCAACTACTAACACCAACATTCAAAATCTTAGAGTAATATTTGAGTCTTCTTTGGGCCTTGACTTGCATATAAAATCTTTGTCTTGTTCCTGTTTCTTTCATTTAAGGAACATTTCAAAATTGCGACATATTGTCGCCTCAGCTGAACTGGAAAAAATAGTTCTTGCATTTGTGTCATCGCATTTAGATTATTTTAATGCTCTGTTTACCAGCTTGGACAGATCCTCTCTTTCACACCTCAAAGCTATTCAAAATGCTGCAGTCAGACTACTAACAAGTTCTAGCTAACAAGTTCAAATTACTCCTATTTTATATTCTTTATTGGCTCCCAGTAGATTTTAGGATTCGTTTAAAAATTCTTGTTTTAACATACAGAGCACTAAATGGCCAGGTCACAGATTATTTATCTCAGATTTTTACAAAATACACTGCTTCTTGTCGTCTCCATTCACAGACTCTGAATTTGTTGTTCCCCATACCTGACTAAAAACTAAGGGTGACAGACCCTTTGAGCTTGTGGCACCAAAGCTGTGGCACACCTTACCATCAAAACTACAATTAGTTGACTCTGTGCATTATTTTAAAAAGCAGTTAAAACTTTTTTCAAACAGGCCTTTTCCCGAGAATTTTTTATTGAATTATGTTTTACTTATTTTGAAACTACCAGTTTATTTTATTATATCTTATTTCATTTTTTTCACACTTAACCTCCTAAGACCCAAACTCTTTCATGGCATGCATTTTTAATTTTCTTTGCTATTTGGGCTGATTAGGACCTGATGAATGTAAAAACCAAAAATTACATGTTTGTTTTTTTTAACCTGATTTTTGTTTCCATATATGAGTGGAAGTACAACACCCTGGTAAGTGGATATCAGGCCCTTGTAGAGCAAAATTAGTATTTTGGTCTAGACAACCCAAAATGTGATGTCCATATGTGGACGCCAGGTCCTGGGAGTTTAATGTTCATGTTTATTTTAGCCTTTTGTGTACACCACTTTGTGATTGCTTGTCTGATTGCCTGCGCTTAATAAACACACTTTACATACTTGTGAAGTATGTAAAGTGTGTTTTTGATGGGTTTTTTGTGAATAAAATTTGGGGTTGTGAGATTTGCAAATCTTTAAATTCAGCTTTTATTTACATTTTACTCGGCATCCCTTTTTTTCAGAATAGGGTTGATAATCTTCTTTTGCCAACAAACCTTCTTGAAATCATCAAGTCTTTCTTTGATGATAATTTGGTCACAGTTAAACTGACAGCAATGAGAACTACAGAGCATTCACTAATCACTTTTCATTAACACTGTTGGCTTTGTTTTAATTAGCTGTTCTGAATGACACCAGTGTTTCTGTCACACTGTGTTCCTGGCTTACACTATCCAACTGTTGTGTTTACCTTATACTGTACATCTGTTTTACATTTAGTTGTTAAGAATATTTTAAATGAGGACTTTTTTTTGCACAGGGTTATGTTATAAGTTTTACATTTATTTATAAAACATATTTAGAGTATGTTAATTTGAATCATTTGCATATGTAAATACAATTTGCATGCATGTATACCTTTAAGAATTGCATGCAATCATGAGAGAAATCTGTGATATGGCTATAAAAAGAATAAAAGAATATTGAAAAAAATAGTATGAAACAAATTTTTTAGAGCTTTTCAAAACTATGAAATGTTAAATCTGTTCCATCAGTGATATAAATGGCAACATTTCAATGATAAAATGAAAATCTTGGCTTGAGGCTGGAACTTGGAGAAAGTATATTGAGTACTCAAATTAAAAGGATTTGTGCTGTAGGGGAGTATAAGTAAATGTGCTCAATAAATCTGTTGAATTCTTTTGATCAAGATCATTCTTGCGTGATGTGTTTCTTTTCTTTCTTCTTTTCGCTGATGGTTCCAGTAGATGAGAAGTAGGTGATCAGTCAAATCATAATGACTCTTCCCCATGGCCCTTGGCTTTCCATTCCCAATTTCATTGCTGAGATATGTGGGTATTTGTTGATAAAGTCTTAGTTTGGATCACAGTCCAGAAGGAGAAGCTGACCAAATGACTGAACGGCAAAAGTCTCTGCAACCAGAACAGTGTGAGATCATAACATCACAAGTATGTGTAAGTCTCTGTGACCGTCTCACAAGGTTCTCATCCTGGTCACATGCTGTCGGTGCCATAGCACGTCTCAAACGTTTCCTACTCAGAGACAAATCAAAGTCACTCAGCACTGTAACTGAAAGACAAAATGCTGAAATGATGATTATCAAAAACTTACAAGGACTAACATTTTCAGATGAGATAAAGACATTAAGCAAAGGAAAGGCACTACATGAGAGCAACAAAATGTACAACTTGGATCCTTTCTTGGACGAAGACAATGTGC